AAATCCCAAGCAGGCTTCACACTATGAACATAGAGCCCGATATAGAGCCTGATGTAGGGCTAGAACTCAGCGTACCCTGAGATCATGACCTGAACTGAAATTAAGAGTCGGACACTCAACCAACTAAGCCACCCAGGCACCCTGTGATTCCTTTCTTTTTGATTGCTGAGTAATATTCCATGGTGTGTGTGTATGTATGTGTGTGTGTATATATGTATATATATACACACCACATCTTTTTTTTTTTTTAATGTTTTATTTATTTCTAGGAGAGAGAGAGAGAGACAGCGTGAGCAGGGGAGGGTCAGAGAGAGAGGGAGTCACAGACTTAAACAGGCTCCAGGCTCTGAGCTGGCAGTCAGCACAGAGCCCGACGCGGGGCTCGAACCCACGAACCCCGAGATCATGACCTAAGCGAAAGTCGGACGCTTAACCGACTAAGCCACCCAGGCGCCCCACACCACATCTTTATCCATTCATTTTTTGATGGACATTTGGGCATTTTCCATAATTTGGCTAATGTTGATAGTGCTGCTATAAACATTGGGGCACATGTGTCCTTTCAAATCAGCAGTTTTGTATCCTTTGGATAAATAAAAGTATTGCAATTGCTGGGTCATAGGGTAGCTGAATTTTTAAAGTTTTGAGGAACTTCCATACTGTTCTCCAGAGTGGGTGCACTAGTTTGCATCCCCACCAGCAGTGCAGAAGTGTTCCCCTTTCTCCACATCCTCACCAACATCTGTAATTGCCTGCGTTGTTAATTTTAGCCATTCTGACAGGTGTGAGGTGGTATCTCATAGTGGTTTTGATTTGCATTTCCCTGATGATGAGTGATGTTGAGCATTTTTTCATGTCTCTTTAGCCATCTGGATGTCTTCTTTGGAAAAGTGTCTATTCATGTCTTTTGCCCATTTCTTCACTGGATTATTTGTTTTTTGGTTGTTGAGTTTGAAAAGTGCTTTATAGATTTTGGATACTAACCCTTTGTCTGAAGTGTCATTTGCAAATATCTTCTCCTATTCCATCCGGTGCCTTTTAGCTTTGCTGATTGTTTCCTTCACTGTGCAGAAGATTTTTATCTTGATGAGGTCCTAATAGTTCATTTTTGCTTTTGTTTCCCTTGCCTCCAGAGACCTGTAAAGTCCAAAATTACTATGGCTGAGGTCCAAAGAGATTGTTGACTGTTTACTCCTGTAGGATTTTGATGGTGTCCTGTCTTACATTTAGGTCTTTAGTCCATTTTGAATTTATTTTTGTGTATGGTGTAAGAAAATGGTCCAGTTTTATTCGTCTGCATGTGGCTGTCCAGTTTTCCCAACACCATTTACTGAAGAGACTGTCTTTTTTTTCCATTGGCTATTCTTTCCTGGTTTGTTGAAGATTAGTTGATTATGATTTCACTCATATGTGGAATTTAAGAAACAAAACAGATGAATATAGGGGAAGGAAAAAAAGATAAAAACAGAGGGGGAGGCAAACCTTAAGAGACTCTTAAATATAAAGAACAAACTGAAAGTTGCAGGAGGGGTGTTAGGTGGGGGAATGGGCTAAATGGGTGATAGGCATTAAGGAGGGGCTCTTGTTAGGATGAGCACTGGGTTATGTAAGTGATGAATCACTAAATTCTATTCCTGAAACCATTATTACACTATATGTTAACTAACTTGGAGTTAAATTTTAAAAAAGAAAGAAAAGAAATACTATTTCAAATAATCTGTCCATGATCTTGACTAGCTCCAGTTATTTTTTATTTTTATTTTTAACTTTCTTTTCTGATTATATACATGATTTGTTTTACTGTAACATTTTAAATCATTTTTTGTTTCCCATAGAATTCATTTTATAAAGTTCAGAAGAAAAAAAGTCCCCTGAATCTCAGCACAGATACTGTCTTATGTATTCTATTTTAGACTTTGCTTATGTAAAGAATTTTCCCCCAGAATTGGACTCTTGCTGTAGATACTCTCATAACTTTTTTCAGTTAATAGTAGATCATGTACATCTCAGTACATGAGTAAATATTGATCTCTTAGAGCAGTACTGTCCAGTGATTTATAGGCATGAATTCTGAAGTCAGAAAGACTCGAATTTGAATCCATTTTTGTTACTTGCCAGCTATAGCCTTAATTTATTCACCTGTAAAATGAAGATAATGATAACACATATTCTAGGGCTATAAGTATTATATGAGATGAAATATGTCAAGGACTTAGAAGTATCTGACACATAGTAAACATACAATGAATTTTAGCGATTAATAATAATGTTAGAGAACTGTATAATCTTCTATTTTATGTGTATACACAGTGTATTCACCTTTTCCATGTTAATAATATTTTAGATATTGGGCATTTAGGTTGTTTACAATCTCTCAGTTTTTATAAAACAAGTCTATAGTATATATCTTTGTGTACTAGATGGCAACTATATGTCTTTGGCAACTAGATCTTTGTGTACTGCCTTATTTCCTTAGGATAAAATCCTTAGGGCGTAAAATTGGTGTGTCAAAGAGAGTGTATATTTCTAAAGCTTTTAATAGTATTTCTAAACAGCCCTCCAAAAAAGAACTCTGACTCCAGCATTTTATATTGTTGTTGAGAATGACTTATCTTGAGTCATCTAGTGGTATGTTTAAAATTGTTATCATTGCTGCCTATACTGACATATTATAGGACAATTAAGTCATCATATTCATACATAAAACAGTGTTTTTAAAAAGGATCGCCTGGTTGCCCTTGAGCCTCCATTAGTAGAATATAAAAGATTTTCCTCATCGAAAAATGTTTTATTTTACATTTTCTCATCTTATTAAAATAAGATCGCTGTGCCAAAATTTTAACCTTTGGTAGATACCAAGTTTGGATAATTTGTTAGTGGCCTTTTTAAAATTCATTTTAAAAAATTGGGAGGTTATTTTTAATAGAGCATGCTGCTTCACAAAGTTTGGTTGCTGAAATGTTATGTGGGTTCAATTTCTCTTGAAGGGAGAGGGCAGATATAAAAATTTATTTATGAAAGTGTAGCTTCCTCATGTTCCTGATGATAAAGCTTCCCAGGGGGAAGCGTAACTTATCTATGAGGCCCTGACATACAGTATTAGCATATTGCAGACCTGCTACCCGAGTTAAAAATAAGACTTGTTCTCTTTAAAAGTTAAAAATATTTTTATTCACAACAGTTTGACTGTTTATTTCCAACAGGAAAGGCACGTTTTTCAATTTTTTAACCATAAAAATTAGTTTTTGTTGTTTGTGTTCAAATTTTTTTAGTAAATCCATGCATGGTCTTGATAAAATTTGCAGTGTAGGCAATATGAAGAGAAACATAAAAGTAAAAAATCACTTAAATCCCAGTGCCCTATAGTAAATGCTCTTAACGTTCTAGTGACCACACTTAACATGCATCATGTATTTTTTCATGTGTGTTAAATGAATTAGGTAATCTTTTAAAAATTGTGATAAAATATACACAACATCAAATTTACTATTTTATCTATTTTAAATTTTTTTAGTGGTTATTTATTTTTGGGAGAGGGAGAGAGAGAGGTGGGCAGAGAGGGAGACGGAATCTGAAGCCGACTTCAGGCTCTGAACTGTCTTCACAGAGCCCAAAGCAGGACTCGAACTCACAGACCACGAGATCATGACTTGAGCCGAAGTTGGATGCTTAGCCGACTGAGCCACTCAGGCACCACTGTCTATTTGAACTATTTTTAAGTGTACAGTTCAGGGGCATTAAATACACTGAGCTTGTGCAACCATCACCACCATTGTCTCCAGAACTCTTCATTTTCCAAATTGAAACTCTACCCATTGAGCAGTGGCTCCCCATTCTCTTCTCCTCCAGTCCCTGGCAACCACAACCTAATTTTTTTTTTTTTACCTTCTATTGAAATATAATTTGATACATAAAAATGCATATACCACAAGTACACTACCAACCAAAACACAGGATGAGGAAGGGAGTATTTGTACGTGTTAATATGGAGGTTCCGGTTTTCTTTGCCGGGCAAAGGTTGCCAGCTCTAATAGTACAGATTTACCTTCTCTTAACTGTCACATTAGTTGAGTTGATCATTTGCTGGAGACTGGCTGGTGACTAGCTCAGAGCTAGGAAGTGTCACCCAGAGCATAATAAAGCACTGTGTAGTAATGCGTCACAAGACTGTTTTTGCATAGAGCTTAGCCAAGACTTTGGAACCGCCCCCAGTTGCACCTTGTGCTATATTAGTACTTCTCAGACAGGAAGAATTTTCTTTCGCTGCCGTAGCTGGTCCGGTTACTTTCAGGGTAAGTGTGTACAGTTCATGGAAACAAATGAGTTTCTTTTGTTTAACTTTTTCTGACTTTTATTTGGTTGAGTATCTTGGTGAAATTATAGGCATTTAAAAATACAAATTAAGGAAATAAAAACAGAATAAAGCAGTATAATGCAAAACTTTAACATTTGCAAGGATATGAATATGTATGACTTTGCAGTGTCTTGGGTCTCAGAAATTACAGTTTATAGGATCTAATTTTAAGAGCTTGTTTCACATATAAATGTTAAATAAAAGCAAAGTACCCTCAGATATCTCTTCTCAAAGGAAAAAAAAATTGTAAGATCCAATTTTGTTGTTCATTTAGTTGCTGTGTGACTTAATTTTGCTGATTACCATGCTTTGTGTCCCTAGGATTAAGAACCATTTATTATGGCTAATAGGAAACAGTTTTTATTACGTGCCTGTGATTTTTAGCCAAGATATCATGGAGTGGAATTATACTGGTGTGTTTTAGGAACTGGTAAAAGCTGGCTCATAGTCTCTAAGGTTTATAAGAAATTGTGTATTGAAATTTAAGATTCAAACATATATTACTTTAAAAGCCTATAATGTTATGGCTAACTTAGACTTAAATAATTGAATTTACCTTATTTTTTATAGTTTTTTTTTAAATCAGGAAAATTAGATAATACAGCACACCATTTCTTAAAGCAGTTTACTTGGTTTTTATTGGCAGTCTATATCCAAGCCCTGCATCTCTGGATATTGCTTACCACCTATGTTGTTGTTCTAGGACAAATTCAAGGACAGAAGAACTCAGAGTGCCCTAAGGGTAATCAGTATAAATTACTTAATTTCCATGTGCCTTGGTTTACTCATCTTGAAAAATGATATTAGATAGAGCAATGGGGGTGGGGGAATATATGAATAAATTCTAAGCTCTGAAATTGTACATTTTCTTAAGTGTCCATAAAAGTCTGACCAATTTTACTATTTAAGGAAATTGGTATAAATTCCCAACTTTTAAATAACTAGCCTTTGAAATCTATTTTCCTCTATCTGCTTCTCTTCCCTTCCCACCTTTTCCTATTCAGTTTCTTTTTTCTTTCTCCCAACAGGCTCAGGAAAGACCTGAGAATGTTTAGTTTCATTTTTGGTTTATGTGTGTACTGAGAAAGTTTCAGTTTCTAGTTGGCATATATTTTTTTCACTGCTGCCTTGACAGTCTACTTAAGGAAAATTAGTTAAATGCTTCACGAGACTGATTTACAATGCTACTGAAATAGCAAACTTAAGTTTGATTTTTCTGTGAGCTAATCACCCTAAGAAAGTGTCATTATTAAAAATGTAAGCTGTAACACAAGTGATACAGGTTGCTAGAAAAGTGTAGCAAAACTGGATTCATTTGGAAGTTTAGTACTGTTGCTGAGTGATACCCTGTCCATGTTTTAGTAATACACATCTTTTCTTATATAAGTAGTGTGCAGTTTACCATCCAACGTTTCATTACCTTATCATTGTATAGTGTAAATGTTTCTGCAAGTATCACGATAAAAGCAACATCACAATTTTTTGAACCAACAATGTTAATGAATTTAATCTTTTTCACTTTTCACATAAGACAGAGTCCAGTGGGCCTTTTAAAAGTATTCTGTTTGCATTCAGATACTTTAAAACTTGTATAAAGGCAAGTACATTTTTTTCATATAGACGTAGAAATTTTCAGTCATTGATTTGTAAATATCTTTTCAAGGTAAAGTTAATATCTCAGAAGGAAATACTATGATAGCTAAAACTTTTCAGTTACCCAGTTTGTGCAATTCAAGCGAAATTCTTACCTCTTGCTTCAGATTCTTTGTTAGTGAACACTGCTAGAACAGAGACCTTAACCTCATAGTAAAAGCATACAAAGTAATTATTCCAATCTCCACATGTTCCAGTCCACATGTAAAATTCCAAAGACTTTAAAACTTCAAAACTTCCTGTGAAGAGAGTTCATAGTTCCAGGGTAGTATTTTCTATTTTTGAACATGTCTTCTATGCTTGATGTGTTTATTCCAGCAGCTCTTCTCTTGAAGCATCTGCAACAGATGACTGTTGGCAGAGTAGGCCAGAACATTATATACCAAGTATAGGCTTACAAGCCTATTGGTTTAAAAATACCCTGCCCTAATTTTCAATGTCTTCCTCAGTGCTAGAATGCTGGCATTTATGCCTTAGTCTTTACACTTTTGTAATGATAGAAACAATGGGTGATTTTTGTATTTGGACAATAGTATCACTTTATGTGATATTATCTCTGAACAGATAATTCTGGTCAGATTGCCAGTGAGAATTGGGAGGAGCAAGGATCTTGAGTTGAAATTTACATGGTATCCATAAACTATTAGGTTTACTTATCAAAAACAATGTCCTAAAATTAGCTATTATCAAATTTGTTTGTTTGTATGTTTTTAAATAAAATATGAAGAGACCATGAGAAAGACCATTACTTTTTTTACTTACTAACAGTGGCTTTTTTTTCCTTTTTTTATTACTAAACATAAATGGTCCAAAAAGAGACAAAATTGGGGGTGGGGAGGTGAAGAGGAATTGGGTTGCCTGGCTCTGCATAACATGAAGATATGAGATTACCAGATATTAAAATGTATTCTGCACTGCTTGAATTCTGTTTTCCTTTGGGCTTTTCAAATGTTTCAGAGTACATGGTGTTTTTGTAAACTCTACTGTATTTTTTTTAATGTTTGTTTATTTTGAGAGAGAGCGCGCGTAAGCAGGGGAGGGTCATAGAGAGGGAGGGAAAGAGAATCCCAAACAGCCTCCACACTGTCAGTGTAGATAGAGCCTGATGCAGCACTCATGAACCATGAGATCATGACCCGAGCTGAAATCAAGAGTCAGATGGCTAACCAACTGAGCCACCCAGGAACCCCAACTCTACTGTACTTTATATAGTGCTTTCAGAGAAATGTAGACCCCTTTTCAGATATTAAACATCAAAGGAAAACCATAAACATATTGTATGCTTTAGTTTCTATAAATGAAGAAACTTCCATGACATCTTTGTTTATGAGGATTGACAGAAAGGAAGGGTTACTTCAATTTAATTACAATCATGTAAAGACTACTAACCCCCAGACTACCATTACAATTACATTTTGGGGGTAGTAATCAAAGCTTTTATGAGTTATATAGAGTATATAGATAGATAAATAGATACTTCTGCAGATACTACAGTATTTTTCAGATGTGAAAAATTGGAAGTATCTTACTATTTGGAAATACTGTTTACTTAGCCGTAAGATGCCACTATCATAAAACCATTAGCTTACTAACAGCCTTTCTGAGAGAGGGGGGAAAATACCTTTTTATAAAACATTTCCTAATTTTATGCATTTAAAATGAAGGGGGGAGGAACGAATTTTAGAATTTGAGAAAAATGCTACAATACATTTTAATTATAAAGAACACAGATATAATGTCCAAATTTTAAGAAAAAAGCTTTTTCCCTTTTGACAAAGTTGCCCTTTTTATTTTATTTTTTTTAAGTTTTATTCATTTTGAGAGAGAATGTGTGAGCAGGGGAGGGGCAAAGAGAGAGAATCCCGAGCAGGCTCTGCACTGGACATGGGGCCCAGACCCATGAAACTGTGAGATCATGATGTGAGCTGAAGCCAAGATCTGGACACTCAACCCACTGAGCCACTGAGGCACCCCTAAAGTTGCCCTTTATAAATACTGCTTTAAGTGAAGTCATTGAGGAACAAAAGTATGTAAATATCCCTAAGACTGATATTGCAAAAATGAAAAAAAAATAGAATAATTATAAGAAGTATTTTATTAAGAGCTATTTTAAAAATTACTTCTTTGGGTTTAACAAACTGATATGTATAAATTCCACCCAAACCTGTAAAATAATCAGTTAACAAACACTATCATATACTTATTCTGACCCAGACACTGCTAGATTCAGACACAATTCAGATATGAGTCACGTCATTTCACGAAATTAAAGAGTTTAATATGGGAAAATTAAAGAATAAATTTTACTTTTGTATGTTTCTCAAGTTTTATTCATATAGTCCTTCATTGAGTCAGTAATAGTAATATATAATTTTCCCACAAACTTCATCCTTCTATGTAGAGACAATGTTGGTAAAATATTCTTGTAATAAAGCATTTTCTTGCAAATGTAAACTTTCACTTGAACTCTTTCTTCAAATCTTAATACTATTTAAGTCCTTATAGGAGAGCTACACATTTTTCATACAAATTTTTTAACTCCCGCCTTTGTGAGATAGAGAAAATCTTTGCTGAGCTTCTTAGGAAAGAAAAAAAGTTGCCTTCACGAACTTGGTATTTAAATCAAACCAAAAGTACCACCTTACTATGTCATTAACATACAGGAACAGCCTGAAATATATGTATGTCACGTATACTTTTTTTCTCTCTCCTTTACTGTGACATCACCTGGGGAAAATCCAGAAGATTGGATAACCAAGAAATGCCTAATCAAGACTCTGCTGTGCATGTGAAAATGGTGGGTATTTGAGTATTCCCATTTCCACTTATTAATGGTGAATCTTCACCACTTTCACCTCTGTCTCTAAGCAGATCATTAATTATGGGACTGTGACTTTATGCAGATCTCCCTTCACAATGTTTCACAAACAATAGAACCTCAAATATTTGTTTTTTTTGTTTTTTTTGTTTTTTTGTTTTTTTTTAATGTTTTATTTATTTCTAGGAGAGAGAGAGAGAGAGAGACAGCGTGAGCAGGGAAGGGTCAGAGAGAGGGAGTGACAGACTCTGAAACAGGCTCCAGGTTCTGAGCTGGCAGTCAGCACAGAGCCCGACGCGGGGCTTGAATCCACGAACCGTGAGATCATGACCCAAGCGAAAGTCGGACGCTTAACCGACTAAGCCACCCAGGCGCCCCTGAACCTCAAATATTTGTTGAATTAAATCTCAACTTTGAAAAATTTTTTGCTTGAAATATGAGTATTATGGTGTTTCTCAGCATATGAAATGGTTACCTGATTTCTTTTTGTGCTAAATTTTCCTTGCCCAGCAATAACACACTTAAAGCATGCAGCATGAGATGTTTTATATTCAGCATCTGAATTAAAGTGACAAATGTTTAATTAAACTTCTTGTGTAACAGTAGAGTTCATTGCTTTATAGACATTAGGATAAGGAAGGAAAAATATAGGCTTTGGAGTCAGAACTGGCTTCAGATCTTAATTTAGTCCTTAAGAGCTGTGATACCCTTGAAAGAGGGCAACAATCTTAGCTTTAAGAAATGGTGTGAAACCACTAAACTCTTGTTGTTTATTCATATTCTTTCCCAGCTTTATTAAGCTATAATTGAGATATAATTGACATTATATATGATTGTGAGATACTTAAAGTATACAATGTGATGATTTGAGATTTGATATACATTGAGAAACCATCTAGTTAGCACATATATCACCTCACATGTTTACCTTTTTGGAGGATGGAAGGGAGAACATTTAAGTTCTCCTCCCAGCAAATATCAGTTATATAAGAGAGTGTTATAAACTATGGTCACCATAGCATATATTGGATTTTTAGACCTTATTCATCTTATAAATGAAATATTCTTATTTATATTTAATGGAAAAGTATGTAAAGTGCCTAATAGCACAAAGTAAGCACTCAGTAAATGTTAATTATGTAAGTAGCATTTACTTGCATACATGAAAAAAGTTATATGTCTTCTATATTCACAAGGGTAAAATCCTAAAAATCACAATTTCCCCCTCTCTTTTAAAGAGGACAGCTGTCCCACAATCACCTTATATTTTCTTTCTGTTTTGTTGTTGTTCTTCCTCTTCTCTATTTTTTTCTTCTTCTCATTTTCTTTTTTTTGTTTGTTTGTTTGAGTCTGTAAACCAGAATATGACTTAGCATGCAAACAGCTTTGTGTCCCAATTAATAAATCTCTCGTTCAGCTTAGCTGTCCTCATCCAGGAAGTGAAGGCTGACTCAAAATACTGAGTAAGCTGCCATTGGTGTAGTTATTGCTGTTAGAATGGAGCATATGAAATTGGTATGCTTTTTGTATGTTGAATACAAAACATGGGCAGTTTTGTTTGGTTCAGCCAAATACATCATTCAGCATGGTCTTTGCTTCTATTGCCTGGTCAGCATTTGATTAGTTGCTATTGAACATTTCTCTCTTATATGTAAATTAAGTCAGTCTAAACTTTACTTTTTTTTTTTTTTGCTTGAGTTGATTTTTTTTTTAACCAAAATGAATACTAGTGATATAGGAATGTCCAACCATATGATCTGTTGTTGCCTGAGTCCAGAACCCTCTAGCGTGTCTTCTTTGTAAGTAGCACTGGAGTCAACCCACAAAGAGGCTGTTGAAGGAAAACAAGCCAAAAAAATTGGTACATATTTATATACTTTTTACTATCACTGCATTAGTTTGCACAATTTTTACCTTGGGTTTGCTTTTCTAAAATTGTTGATAACATCTTTTAGGTTGACAGTTCCTTAGGATGTTATTCTTAACTTCTTATCATCTGTCTCCGAATCTCTTTCCATACTTCACAAACGCACACGTGTGCGCACGCGTGTGCGCACGCGTGCACACACACACACACACACTTCTCCATGTACACTAAACTTCTAGACAAACAGAGGTATTATCTTTTTCCCACATTAGACCCCTCCACTTTGACTCTTCATCTCAGTATATACAAATCCTGCTTAGCTTTGAAAGCCTAGCTTAGTTAGCTCTTCTTCTTTTGGCCCCAGTGGAAATAATCTCAGTCTCTTCTGTTCCTCTTGCATTTTATCTGGACATCTGGGCAATGGATGACTTATTTGGCCTCCTATATTACAGACCATGTTAGAGAACTTGCAGTTGGAGCATAAGATGTTTATCTTACTAAAACTTTTGTATCTCCTACAGAGCTGCTTTATACTTAATGACTACACAATGAATGAATCAAAGAATTTGGCCTATGCTCCCATAATATAGAGAAAGGCCACATATGTGGTAGGCAGGGGGAGATGGCTATCACTATAATTTAGTAATGCATAATCTTCCAAGTAAATCATAGAGTCATCTATGTATGTGAGTGAATGTACCAGTCTGAATAGGTGGCTTGGATCTAAACTTTTTATGTAGCTACATGAAAATTGTAGTGCCCCCTCCTTTGTATCAATGTAGTAATGATCGAATCCTGTGTGAAGAAGTTGGAGTCGTCCACCTTACACATAAACACCGGTGCTGCCTGCGAGGTGCCTTCCCCCAGGCCTTGGCGGCCGCAGCCACCAAGGATGACCTTCCCAATTCCAGAGCTTCAGTGCTGCGGGCCTTAAATTTAAAAAAAACCCTTTCAGCATGGAAAAAAAAATGTAGTAATGAAGTCTTTTGCTTGCCAATATGAACATTGGAAAACAAAAAAAATACTCACCCTGAGAACTTTGTATATGTGCTGCCGAAGCGAGCACACGCCCTGAGAACTTTGGACAGAGATCCTTAAGTCATTTAAACTAATGTTTATTGGGCCATTTTCAGAAAATACAGATAAAATTAGGCCAATTTTGTACAATGCAGATCTCTGTTATATCTTATCTCAGTGTATCTGCAAGATAAAGATAATGTCAAATAATCAAGTATTTCTTTAGAGTTTTGAATGAAACTGTATAACTTTGAAATCAGCTTTTTTAGAAATCACTGCTTTTTGATTAAGGAAATAGACTAATGATAAGAGATCGTTTTATCTGTACAAATACATTTTATTAGAGATCAGCCAGAATACATGTATTTTAGATTTTTGTGAGACTATCTTTAGCATTGATTCAGATTTGGCTCCAGTCAACCAAAATGCTCTGATTCTTGTCAGGAAAACTTTGCTCTTTCAGCATTTTACATTATGGCCTTATGATATGAAATTTTTTTTTGTTTGTAAATAATGGACATTTTAAACCACTTATTTGTTTTCCATAGAATTAAGTTGAAAAGTTTTCAGACAATTCAAAATAACTCGCCTTTCAAACTTGAAGGATTGTTATTTTAAGTGCTACGGTGTGTTTTTGTCCAAGAGAAATATGGAAGAAGGGATTTGAGGAGGTAACTAAAGTATGTGATACATGGTGAATGTATATTCCTGCAGTATACTTCTTAATGTTCTGGTATTCTGATATTCTTTAACACATTTCATATAGTATTTTAAAATTATATTTCTTAGTTACATTCTAAAATATTTGAGTAAAATGCCCAGTATCTCCACTTCCTGAGAAATATTTATGATATACTTTGGTGACATTATATGTGTATCATGAAAGTGGGGGGGGGAATGTAAGTATTATTACCACATAACCCAAAGCAGATATATTATCATTTTTTAATTTCTTATACCTATACCCTCTTTCCTATTGTGTTCTTTGGAGAAAGTTGGTGCTCTTTCATCTGTTTTCATCACTGTGATTTCTCCTTGGTGCTCTTGGGTATTTACTACTTATTTATCTGAAACTGAATGGCTGTGTGTTGTACAGAAGCAGGATTATCAATGCCTCCAGCCTCTGGTTGTCTTTCTAACAGTTGTTAACCTAGCAGAAACTGGCCTATTTTGAAATAACCTTGGTACTTTTTTCCTATCCATTATCTGAAACAGGTCATCTTATGCTATTGAAAAAAAAACTTTTTTCTAATTAATGTATTATAAAATGTGATTTATATGAGGCAGGACATCTTCGTCAGTATGGACACACCGAAATGTTTAATTCTCTTGGTGAAAATATGGTTAGTGACATATATCGTCTGTTGCTTTCATATCTTCTGTTGTTTTTAGTAATGATTTAGTTATTAAGTCAAACATAGGCTGACTACTACACATCTACCACTTAAGGCAGACATCAGAGCAGAATTTAGTTGTTAGGAAATGAACTTCCTAGTTGAGGTATTTGTAAGGGAGCTACAGAAGTGATGTTCTAAAGCAGCAACAGTTTCTAAAACTCAGCAGGAAAGCAATAGCGTTGTAAGTGCTGCTGATCATCATATCTCTGACATCTAGTATCTGACACAGTAGATACAGGTAAATATTTGTTAAGCAAATTAATGGATTAATAAATAAAGAAAAGGAGTATACCAATAAGTGCCTATTTGCTTTTCTCATCTATTGGAAAACCACTATAAAATAAATATTTAGATAACCTTTATTCTGTTGATACCTTTATTTTTTTTTTTAATGTTTATTTATTATTGAGACAGGGAGTAACACAGCATGAGTCGGGGAGGGGCAGAGAGAGAGGGAGACACGGAATCCGAAGCAGGCTCCAGGCTCCAAGCTTGAGATGTCAGCCCAGAACCTGACGCAGGGCTCGAACTTATAAACCATGAGATCATGACCTGAGCCAAAGCTGGACGCTCAACTGACCGAGCCACCCAGGCATCCCTATTATGTTGATACCTTTAATGTCTAATTAAGTTAAAGAATCTCTCTGTATACCGTTGCATTGCAGGTTATCCTATACTGTTTCAGTATGGCTTTTTAAAATTAAGTGTATTGTAGTATCTTTTCATTAATGGACAAAATGTTAATGTTAACATTTCTCTTTCCTGTATGTTCATGCATTTCTATTTCAGTCTTAGGAAAACATTTTAGCCTTTTCTGATTTTCTAATTTTGTTCATTATGTAGAGACAACATAGGACCTGAGAAACTTAACTGATTACATGATCTTGGAGCAGAGAGATAAGGTCTAGGGAATTTTTTATAACAATGTCTGTGATACACATGAAATATGTTACTTTTGGTAGTAACATACCCAGAATAATAGCATATGAAGTAAATAAAATAAATAAAGGATACAAACCAGTATAGAACCTTAATTTGGGGTTCTCTTACCATCTTATCATACTGTGGAGCTATTAACTACCCCATAATTCCCTTTCCCCCCAGTCCTCTTATGCAAGTGCTGTAAGAGCACTGTGCTTGTGCGTTTCCCTGGTCAGTTTCATTCTCCCTGTGATAGGGTAGAAAAAAGAAACAATATTTAACATTAAATTGTTGAGCACACTAAATCCTGAATAAACCAGCTTAGTAGCAGCCTAAACCCTGTGGTCTAATTTTTTTTTTTTAAGTAGGCTCCACACCCAATTTAGGTCTTGAACTCTTGACCCCAAGATCAAGAGTCTCATGCTGGTGATCTCATACTTTTTAGTAATTGTCTTAACTTGAAATAAATCCTTTTTAAAATTTAGGCCAAGAACAGTGAAATTATTTGGAATTTAGGGCAATAAAGGAACAAAGATACTGAAGCACCTTTTCAAGTTAAATATGTTTAAAATATACTAAAGTACGCTTGAGGAGAATAATACTTTAACATTTGTTACCTTTCTGCTAAGATTTTTTATGTAAATAGAAATATAAGCTAAATCTCAAACAGAAAGGGGTTTTTAAATTATTTTTAAATATTTTTTTAATGTTTTATTTATTTCTGAGAGAGAGAGAGAGACAGAGTGAGCAGGGGAGGGTCAGAGAGAGGGAGATACAGAATCTGAAACAGGCTCCAGGCTCTGAGCTAGTTGTCAGCACACAGCCCTCTGTGGGGCTCGAACCCATGAATCGTGAGATCATGACCTGAGCTGAAGTCGGACGCTTAACTGACTGAGCCACCCAAGTGCCCCTAAATATTTATTTTTAAGAGAGACAGAGTGTGATGTGAGCGGGGGTGGGGCAGAGAGAGAGGGCACAGAATCCAAAGTAGGCTCCAGACTCTGAGCTGCCAGCACAGAGCCTGGTGCAGGACTTGAACTCACAAACCATGAGATCTTGACCTGAGCTGAAGTAGGATACTTAACCGACTGAGCCATCCAGACGCCTGAAGCAGAAAGATCTTATAAGAAAACTATCACAAAGTTCAGATAGTATCCATTTCATTCTGGGATTTTATTTTGATTAATGAATTCTGTTAAAAACATTTATATAGCTGTTTATGAAATAATACTAATTTTTAAAAGCCAGATACAAAAATATATGAGAATGAGATAAACAAGATAAACAATGCTTGTAATCATGGACATCAGAATAATAGAAAATATATTTAAATGTTTAATTGCTTATCTTCAGGTCGTAGAATTCCAAACAGTGTTTATTTTCTTTTTTTATATTTTTTCTGTTATTTCTGTGGTAACCATGTATGACTTTTATAATTACAAGAATTACACTTTCTAATAATATATTAAAAACATCATTTTGCCTTAATCTTCCAGAATAAAACTGTTGATGTGCTCCAAAAAAAATTTTGTGTGTATAAATGGTAATTTGATATGATGGTTTTCTTTTTTCTTTTCTTTTTTTTTTTTTTTTTAGTGCCTCACCATTTTTAGATCTTAAAATAGTATAAGCATCTGCTTGCTATCAAAAGAACCTGGGAAAAGGGGAATTAAAGATAGTTAAGTTCTTTTTATATTTTAGATGCCAGAATTCCAGAGAAGTTCAGTTCGAATCAAGAACCCAGCAAGAGTAGAAGAAATTATCTGCGGTCTTATTAAGGGAGGAGCTGCCAAACTTCAGGTAAATAACTATTAAGAAGTCTTTATTATTAAGCCTTTTTTTTTTTTTTTTATTTCTAGAGAGAGAGAGTGAGCAGGGGAGGGTCAGAGAGAGAGGGAGTCACAGACTGAAACATATTAAGCCTTTATTTTTAATGTCCAGGCACACTCATTCATCTCATGTTTCGCTAAAATCTGAGTGAATACTAAGTTCTAAGCTAATTAATGCTGTGCATAAGTATTAAACCATTTTTTTAAAATATTTATTTAGGGGCACCTGGGTGGCTCAGTCGGTTGAGCATCTGACTTTGGCTCAGGTCATGATCTCGCGGTCCGTGGGTTCAAGCCCCTCAACAGGTTCTGTGCTGACAGCTCAGAGCCTGGAGCCTGTTTCGGATTCTGTGTCTCCCTCTCTCTCTGCCCCTCCCCAGCTCGTGCTCTATCTCAAAAATAAATAAACATTAAAAAAAATATTTATTTATTTTTGGAGAGAGCACAAGCCTGGAGGGGGACAGAGAGAAGGAGACAGAGGATCTGAAGCAGGCTCTGTACTGATAAGCTGACAGCAGCAAGCCCAGTGTGGGGCTTGAACTCATGAACCGCAAGATCATGACCTGAGCCAAAGTCAGATACTCAACTGAGCCACCCAGGTACCCCTAAACAATTTTTTTTTTTTAAATGTTTTATATATTTCTTGGAGAGAGAGAGAGACAGCGTGAGCAGGGGAGGGTCAGAGAGAGAGGGAGTCACAGACTGAAACAAGCTCCAGGCTCTGAGCTGGCAGTCAGCACAGAGCCCGACGCGGGGCTCGAACCCATGAACCGCGAGATCATGACCTAAGCGAAAGTCGGACGCTTAACCGACTAAGCCACCCAGGCGCCCCGACAATTTTTTTATTGTGTATTGATTTTGAGAGAGGGAGAGAGAGAGTATCAAGAGGCTCACCTCTGTCAGTGCATAGTCTGATGCATGGCACTATCTCACCAACCGTGAGACCATGACCCGAGCCAGTACCAAGTCAGATGTTAAACTGACGGAGGTTAACATCTCAGGCACTTCAGTTTTTATTTTATTTTGTTTTGTTTATGTTTTTTATTTTTGAGAGACAGAGAGAGGTAGCGTGAGCAGGGGAGGGTCAGAGAAAGAGGGAGACACAGAATCCGAAGACAGGGTCCAGGCTCCGAGCTGTCAGCACAGAGTGCGACGAGGGGCTCGAACCCATGAACTGCGAGATCATGACCTGAGCCCAAGTCGGACTCAACAGACTGAGCCACCCAGGCGCTCCCAGGCACTTCAGTTTTAAACCAATTTAAGAATAATACTCAAATTTCAAATCAAGTTCAAATTAAGATATAATTTTATTAGAGAATAACTGATTTTTCGTTAACTCTTTAAAAAGATTTTTCTAATGTTTATTTTTGAGAGAGACAGAGTGTGAAGGGGAGGGGCAGAGAGGGAGGGAGGCACAGAATCTGAAGCAGGCTCCAGGCTCTGAACTGTCAGCACAGAGCCCGTTGTGGGGCTTGAACTTGTGAACCACAAGATAATGACCCGAGCGTAAGTCAGACACGTAACCAACTGAGCCACCCAGGTGCCCCACTTTTAATTCTTTTTTAATAAGAATGTCTTAAATGCAAATTAAATCAATAATATGGATAGTAACTAAAAATTATTCCCTTTTTCAAAATTTTATTTATTTATTCTGAGTGGGGGAGCTGTGCAGAGTAGGGGCAGAGAGAAAGGGAGAGAGAGAATTCCAAGCAGGCTCCATGCTGTCAGTGCAGAGTGCAATGTAGGGCTCGATCTCACAAACCATGATATCATGACCTGAGCCAAAATCAAGAGTCAGATGCTCAACCGAGAGCCACACAGGCGCTACCCCCAAAATATTTCCCTTTTTAAAATACTTCTGAAAAAATATTTTACCCCGTCTCCTAAGTTTCAAGAGCTGGTAAACTATCACCGTGTATCAGTATCATTCATTCATTGGTATGGTTTAACTACATGGCAAGTTAAATCAAAAATATAATAGTATCAGTAACTAAGAACTTCATATCATTTATTTATTTATTTACTTATTTTGCACAAATAGTATATGCTTTTTATCATAGTAAAAAACACATATGAAATCTATTCTCTCAATAAATGTTTAAGTGTTCAGTAAAATACTGTTAACTCTATGCATATTATTGTATAGCAGATCTCTCAAATTTCCTCATCCTGCATGCCTAAAACTCTATACCCACAGGACAGCAACTCCTCATTTCTTCCCTCTCCCACCCCCCAGCCATTGACAACCACCATTCTATTTTCTGCTTCGATGAGTTTGACTAATTTAAATACCTGACATAAATGGAATCATGCAGTATTTGTCCTTCTGTAACCAGCTTATTTCACTTAGCATAATGTCCCCTGAAGGTTCATCCATGTTGTTGTATTACAGGATGTCCTTCTTTTTAATTGAGAGCTTCATATAATTTAATTGCTTCCACTGCGTTTTTGTACATTGACTACAACGTAGTGGTTTGAAATTGTGCAATATTTTATCTCTGTCAAGAACAGTAGCCCAATCACCTGCAACTACAGATTTACCTGCCAATTAATCAGATTTTATTTGGTGACAATGCTAGGGCACTGAAGCGATCACTGTGTAGTTAAGATAATCCCCATGACTTCACTGCACAGCAGTACCTTAAGTGCCCTGGCATTGCCACCAAATAAAACCTGGTTAATCATTGTGGCACCTGGGTGGCTCAGTTGGTTAAGCATCTGACTTCAGCTCAGGTCATGATCTCCTGGTCCATTGGCTCGCTCCCTGCATCAGGCTCAGTGCTGACAGCTCAGAGCCTGGAGCCTGCATCAGATTCTGGGTCTCCTTCTCTCCTTGCCCCTCCCCCTACTTGCTCTCTGTCTCTGTCTCTCTCTCTCTCTCAAAATAAAGACATAAAAATTTTTTTTAATTAAAAAATAAATAATATAAAACCTGGTTAATCAGTACAGGGATCCACAGTTGCAGGTGATAGGGCCGCTGTTCTCGATTGAGAGCTGCAGGAGAAAACAGAATGCGAAGAATAACCTATAGTGGATGTCAGAGGCTGAGCACAGTCCCATGCCTCCAGGGGCAGTACATGTCTGGCCTTGGTGGCTGTATTTTCCTTAATGCTTACCCCCCTTCTTTTTTACAGATAATAACAGACTTTGATATGACACTGAGTAGATTTTCCTATGAAGGGAAAAGATGCCCAACATGTCATTGTAAGTGTGGTGTTCATAAACAAACTCATGAAAGTGATTCATGTTTTCAGATCCTTTAGCTGTATTATCTATACGATTGACTGCTATTTGCTCTTTTCTTTTTGGACATTGAAAATGCCTTTTTCTTCTTGTATTTTGAGGATTTCTTTTCCCCCATGGTATACAAATGACTATATTTTCATGTATGGTTTTGGTTGTAAGAGAAATGAAGGCTTCTGAAATTTTTCTCCAAATGTGGTCTGTTCATTATTTAATCAAGAAATATTTAAATTGATTTTAAACTTTGGATTAACCTAATATTTCTTAGAAATAGCATTTCTATCAACTACTGTTTTCTAAGATGTTACTGAATTTTTGCATTGTTGATTTATAAATTAAGTAAAAGAGTGATGAAATAAATATCAAGTTCTGTGTTTTTTAAACTTGGCCATCAGTGTTAAAAATAATCCTCTGCAACCTGACAAAGCAACAGTGATACAAGTCCTCTGATTTACTGGAGCTGCATGTGTAATGTGAGAAATTGTTTTGATAATTTATATTAAAACCACTAGAAATCATACACCGTGGCCCAGTAATTCTCTGGAGAACTTTTAATGAAGTCCTCCCAAATGTAGGAAAAACACTTTAGATCCAAGGTTTGGATCTTAAAGCCATTAGATTCTCTAGCAATGTCACCTGTATTATAGCACTAAGACCTGAAGTTGTAATAACCATGCTAGTGGACTTGGCATTTAAACTTAAAAGTAGTAAGTTATTTAAAGTAGTGATGCCATCAATCAGAATATTTCTTTTAATGCTGGTTTGCTTTCACTCTTCAGATGTCATTGACAACAGTAAGCTGGTTACAGATGAATGTCGGAAAAAGGTAAATAGTAACAGTAATCTATAGTCACTCAAAGACTTCATTAGCCTTTTTGCCTGAGAATTTCGTTGGGTTCATTCACACAAACAATGGATATAAAATGCTTATCACCATACCTGGCACATAGTAAACACTGAATAAGTGTTAGTTTTACTGTATGGATTATACACACTCAACATTATTTTAAAGAAAAAATTAACTTTTTAACAAAAACAATAAAATTTACATGAAAACTTTTAAGTGATTACAAAAATATTCTGATGTACTTATATTAAATGTATAGTAAAACAAAAGTACTTTGGTTTTGAGTGGGTTTTGCTCCTTTATTTATTTTTTAAGTTTATTTAGTTATTTTGAGAGAGAGAGAAAGGGGGAGAGGGAGAGAGAGAGAATCCCAAGCAGGCTCCTCACTGTTAGCAGAGAACCAAACATGGGGCTTGATCCCACAAACTGAGATCATGACCTGAGCCAAAATCAAGAGTCGAATGCCTAACCAACTGAACTACCCAGCTGCCCTGATTTTGCTCCTTTAAATTGCCTCAGTCCTCTGCTTTCCTTGAGTATGTGTCTATCTATGTCTGTGTTAACAAAATAGGACTGCAAGTGTGAATCAAATTTAATACTTTGATATGAGAACAAAAAACCTTTTTTTGTAATAATAACTTGATTATTAGACCATTTCACTGAATTGCTGACCTGAAAGCACTTAAAAAAAAAGAAACGTAGATTCTTACAGGTACATTTTGTTACATTGTACACTAGGATCAACAAAGATCTCCTCAGTTGATATATGCATTAGCTAGGTACTTGAGATCTAATCTTTAACAGCTGTTTATGGAAAACATTTGCTGACATTGTTTTGCTTTCTAGAAAACTGTGCAATGTAATGACAATTCTGTCATCATCATGATTAAGTTATTCATTCATTTCTAGTTACTGCAACTAAAGGAAAAATATTATGCTATTGAAATTGATCCTGTTCTTACCATAGAAGAGAAGTACCCCTATATGGTAGAATGGTAAGTGTGTATTGGGTAAGGGGAGAGTTAAAAATATAATAAAATAACATTACAGTTACAGCTAATGGCTTATTTTCCTCAACACTGTATACAAATAGATTCATAAATTATTTAAGGAGTTAGAGCTGTGAATAAACACAACAAAATGAACCTAATTTTCTAATCACTTCAACAGTCTAGAATTTGTTTTGTTGTTGTTGTTTTTTAAGATGAAGATCAGTAAGGGTAGATTTAAAATCCTGAGCTTAAACATTAAGTTATAACAAGCATTTTTTTTTTATGGACAAACTGTGGGCTGAATGTGTAAAGAAAAAGAATTGGGATTTAAATGGACTCTGAACTCATTTGGAGCCAGCAGGTGACATAGTTGCTAAGAAATGGGCCTCTTGATGTTGGCTGCGTTAATGAAAATGCAGCTTTCCAAGCTGACCACACAAAGCATTGTGTTGAGTCCTGAGAGAATGCTGTTAAGAGAAATCTTGACAAACTTAGAGTGTGTTAGAGGGGTCCACTAAGAAAATCATAGGAACTGGAGAATTCCCATTTGGGGATTTCACTGAAGAGAGAAAGCTGTGATTTGAGAAGCAACAACTGTGGTTTTTGAATCTTAAGAGAACAGGAGTGATGTTATTTATCTTCATTACCTATGACCTAACCTGAATGCCTTGTACACTTAATCAATGTTTATGGTATGAAATGCTAAAAAGTTGAAAGTATGTGGAAGCAGAACTGGAAGCAGACGTAGAAGGTTTAAGAAGACTGATTTCAGCCTGATGAAAGAAAGGACTGCCTAGTAATTAGAATTTTCTAGCGATGATATAAGCTTCCCTGGCAGAATGAGCTCACTGACTTGATGGGAGCTGATCCAGAGTGAGGGATCCCTTAGGAATATTGCACAATGGTTCTGGGTGTCAGGTGGAGAGGTTCTAAAGGCCTGTTATGGAGATGCTTTGATTATAGGTGTTTTGATGTAATTTTAAAGCATCTGTTTATCAGACTTGTCATAACAAGGATTTTCTCTCTTGTGCGCTAGGGAGCATCTTCAGTACTTAGGTATTTCACAACAATTTAGACAACCAACAGGTGAAACAAGTGGCTTTGCCACTAATTCTTATAATCGTAGAAATGCCTCTCTCAGTTGAATTTAGTTCTTCTCTATGGTTGAGGAAAGTTTTATATGTAGTAACATTTCATTGTCTCATTAACACATTTAAACTAAGACTTTGGGGTGAACTGGGAAATGAAGTAAGAACATGGTATATTAAATTTGAGAACCACACGGTTTACACTCATTAGTGATGAATTTAAATTTCTAAAATTTAAGTTCAAAATATGATGAATGAAATATTGCATCATCTGTCACTGAAGAATGCTTTTTAATAAAGATGATGGTTTTGATTTGTTTTAATTGATATTCTTTTTCTTTGGTCATGAACTCCAGGTATACCAAAGCACATAGTTTGCTTGTTGAACAGGCTTTACCAAAAGCTAAACTTAAAGAAATTGTGGCAGAATCTGATGTTATGCTCAAGTAAGTTTCTGGGGTGTTTTTTGCTGTTAACTGTTTACCCACTTCTACATGTACTCAAGTGTATATTTGTATTAAAATAATCTATAACTATATTACTTATAAAAACAGCCAAAATATGCCACCTATCACAAAATAATGATGAATAATATGAAATGAAGAATTTAGAATGATATATTAGATCTTGGTGTAGGCAGTAAAAACCTTATGAGATTTAAGTTCTAATCTACACTTCCTTTTTCTACATTAAAAATTTCAAGACTTGGGACACCCAGCTGGCTCAGTCAGAAGAATGTGTACTCCTGATCTTGGTGTCATGAGTTTAAGACCCATATGGGGTGTAGAGATTACTTAAATTTAAAAAAAAAAAAAAAAACTTTTAAAATACTTTTTCAAGACTTAGAAATTTATGAAACCAGGACCATTGTAGAATTTTTTAGCAAAATTCTTTTGAAAGACATGAAATATAAAAGGAATGTTTATAAGTCAAGTTGAAAAAGTTTTTGCTCATACCCTATTTATAAAGTTACATGAATCTACTTTCTGAATTCTCAAATTTCCTTGAAAACTATCTCTAGGTAAGGTGAATATGATTTAGCAAATGATAAAAATATTCATAATACATGAATGATAAGATAGAAACATTTTTAAGCTTCTTTTCAATACTATTTACCACCTCTAAAAATTTTCAACTCATTAGGTAAATGTGATGATGTCATGATGGGGTTATTTTTTGGGGTTTTTTTTAATGATGCTACATTTTAAGGTGACCTACTTTTTTTAAGTTATTTATTTATTTTGAGAGAGGGTGCACACGGAGTCAGGTGGAGAAAGGGCAGAGAGAGAGAGAGAGGGAGAGAGAGAATCCCAAGCAGGCTCTTTGCTGTCAGCATGGAGCCCATTGCAAGGCTCCATCCCTCAAACAGTGAGATCATGACCTGAGCTGAAAATAAGAGTCAGATGCTCAGGATGTTCAATTGAGCCGCCCAGGCGTGCCCCTAAGGGGATCTACTTCAAAGGAGGAAGCATTAAATGTCAGAAAGAGTGTGAGGACAGCTAGTAAGTATTCCATTCCTTTGTAGGCAGCTTAATATATAGCCCAGGAAGAGTAAGGGAAGAAACTTAGACTAATAAGTTAAAAACATTACCTACAGCTGTCCCACATTAAGTAGGAGAGATGTCAAATGTAAAGACAATGCATTCAGTCCCTGCTCCTCCGCTTTTCTGAGAGGGACTAGTTGAGCAGAATGGCAAGCAGGGTGTTCCAGCCTACCCTCAGTGGGTTTTCCAGGATATGCTTTTCCGAGATGTGGTTAATTATTTGCTGTTAAATGATATACATTGTGAACTATAGGCTTGTGTCCTATAGTTGATGAGATATGATTGAGAGTCTAAAATCATCTAATTTGTATCATTAGAATTTATTTAAAAGGAAGCCAAAGAGTTAACTGTTTGGAAAAACTTGTACTAAAATTGTCACAGACATCAATAACCTGCATTAGGCAGGATTCTGAAAAGGGAATCTAAATGAGCCATGGAATTAGGTAGAATTGTTTTGCTTTTTTCATTTCTAGGTGAAAGGAGATATACCTTGCTCTTTAACCATAATTCCTACCTCCATCTTGCAGGGAAGGGTATGAGAATTTCTTTGATAAGCTCCAGCAGTACGGTATCCCTGTGTTCATATTTTCGGCTGGTATCGGTGACATACTAGAGGAGGTGATCTATCAAGCTGGCGTTTATCACCCAAACGTCACAGTAGTGTCCAACTTCATGGATTTTGATGACAATGTAAGAACAGCAAATCATTCTTCATAATTACTTTTTAAATCTGAATATATCTTAATCATGTAAATGCAATTGTTTTTTATCATTTAAGGTATATTATTTAATATATCTGTCTAATGTATATTAAATTAGGTCAGGTCAGTAGGCCTCCTTTGGGACTCATCATCTCCCAGTATTATATCTGTATCCATGTTTTAAAAATAATATGCCTTTCTTAAATTTTGTTCCCCAAGCTATAGACTAATATTAAAATTAAGTTTTAATGTAACAATGCAGCAGCTCTGAAGACTTAGTATCCATAGGTGGGAAGAAAGTGAATTTGAATTTTTCAATTCAAGACAATATTTTGTGAAGTACATTAAATGGGACCTTTGGTTAGGAAACAAATGAAAAGTAAAAATTGGATTTTCAGCTCATTGTTTTTAGCATTTAAAGTAGCCTCTAGAAAGTCATTAACTTCTCAAAGCCCCTCTTACCTATCATGAATATGAAAATAGAACAAATAGAATTTGCAATTTGGAACCTTTGTTTCAAAGGATTTATGTTTTTGTAGGGGGTGCTCAAAGGATTTAAAGGCGAACTAATTCATGTATTTAACAAGCATGATGGTGCCTTGAAGAACACAGAATATTTCAATCGGCTAAAAGATAACAGCAACATAATTCTGCTAGGAGATTCCCAAGGAGATATAAGAATGGCAGATGGAGTAGCCAATGTTGAACACATCCTGAAAATTGGATATCTAAATGATAGAGTAAGTATATGGGTCTGTCGCAAGAAAAAATAAAGATGGAACTTAATAGGCAATTGCTATTAAAGGTACATGCAAAACGAGCTAGAGACATTTTGATTGTTCTTTATCCCTTTGGTGTGATTAAGGGGGTTGGGATGTACATCTGTGTGCCATCAGTATTGGGGTGGCTTCTCTGGCCTCTCCCTACTAGAAACCTGTAGCACCCCCAAATCATGAAAGTAAAACATTGCCAGATGTTGCTTGGGCAGCCTCCCCAGTTGAGAGCCACTGGACTAGAGAGAAGTGACTTTGGGAGTAAAGCCACCATGTGGCTATGTCCATAAGTCTTCATTTCAAAGGTTTTATGAAAGTAAATTTAATTTACTTCATTTTGGCCCAAAAAACTGAATATAATAATGAGATTCACACTGAAACAATTTACTTCTCCTCCCTGTATATCCTTCTAATTTTTCTGTTGTTGTTGATTAGGTGGATGATCTTTTAGAAAAGTACATGGACTCTTACGATATTGTTCTAGTAAAAGATGAATCACTGGATGTAGCCAACTCAATCTTACAGAAGATTCTATAAACAGCCTTCTTCAAGAAGACCTCTCTCCTGTGAGTGCAATTGACGCAGGAATTGCTCACCTGTTCATCTTGGTGAAAGACTTCTATTTATAATACATTCTTGCTCTTGAAGTTTTTTCCCTACATTATTGAGGTATTTCAGACATATTGAATCTATCAACTGGAAGCTCCTTTTTTCCTTACCTCTCTCAACACACTCCTCAACTGTATTTTTTAACAGTTAAAAAAAAAAAAAACTTAAAGCCAAAATTTGAAAAATAACTCCATGAATTTCCAGAGTGAATTTTGTAGTTTAATGTTATGAGGTTTTTGAGGAAACTTTTTACTCGGGGGGGGAAAAAAAAGTCTGTATAAATTTAAAAAGAAGTTTTATGAAATGGTGAAATAATGTGCATGATTTTAAGTGTTGCTGTTTTTGTCACGTGGGTGACTTATGCTGCTGATATCACCATCTCCTGAAATTGCATTATGTTTGGTTATTTGATTTTTGAAAGTCAGTATTTATCAGAAAATATTGGCACTCGGTGTTTGAAAAACCATTGGTATCCACATATAACTAATCATTACAAAATGTTCTATATTGAAGCACTGATAATACACATGAAGTGAAAAGCCTTTTTAAATTGTACAGTCAAGACCATCGTTATTCATTTATTCAACAAATATTTATTAAGCACTTGCTGTGTTTCTGTGTGTGTGTGTGTGTGTGCGCGTGCACGCACGCTTGTATGAAAGAGAGAGATGAATCCTCGTGTCATTGTTGTAGTGGCTATTTAGATTGGATATTTTTAAATTTACATATTATAGGTTTAAGTATAAAAAGATAGTTGCAGAGAAAATTTAATCAGCCCTTAAGAAAATACTGGAGACTGGAAAAATTGTTTTCCCTTATTGAAAATATCAGTAAAAGAGGGTACTTTGTTGTAGGTTTAACAGTTTCAGAAATAGCCAGAGGCAGGGAACAGACTGAGTACTGCTGAGTTAAACTGACATTCCTCTTTGCACTATGACTTCCTGTTCTAAATTTCTGCTGCCCCATAATTGGTTCACACAAAGTTTAGACTTGCCATTGTGATAAACTTAACCCTGACTCTAACCATTTCACTCCAGAGTCTCCGAGCCACTAATTCCATAAAGCACCTGAGCTATGATACGTCCAGAGCATGTTCCAACTGGTCCCGGACACCCAGTGTGGTCAGCAGTCTCAAGTCTGATTTGATGAGGCAGGTAGGCAAGGTCTTAACAATGAAAACCTTTTCCCTAGGGCTGCCCATCCTTATCCTCTACCACAACTTCTCCTTTTTATAATCAACAGTGAAACAAAGTTTGTAATGGCCAAAGTAGACCATTCTCTGTTTAAGTATTTCCAAAATCAAACTTAAAACCAACCTTCTTTTTTTTTTTAATGTTTGTTCATTTTTAAGAGGGAGGGAGAGTGCAAGTGGGGGGAGGGGCAGAGAGCAAGGGAGACAGGATCCAAAGCGGGCTCAGCACTGACAGCAGTGAGCCTGATGCAGTGCTCGAACCACGAGATCATGAGGTCATGAGACCATGAGATCATGACCTGAGTCGAAACCAAGAGTGGGTTGCTTAACTGAGTGAGCCACCCAGGTGAACCAAGATTCTAAAAGAAAGAAAGGGAGGAAGGGAGGTGCCCCTTGCAACCTGGATTCTGAAAGAGAGAAAGAGACAGAAAGAAATGAAGGGAGGGAGGGAGGGAGAGAGAAAAGAAGAGAGAGGGAGGGTGGGAAAGAGGAAGGAAGAAAGAAGGAAGAAATCAAGCTCCTTGCTTTAAAGCAGATAAGCATCACATGAAAGTATCAAAATTACCAGGGGGACTTGTTCACACAGAAAAAGTTGGGCATTTCTGATCTAATGAGAGCTTTTTATCCCATATTGCAGTTCGAGCTTGTCATATTGACTGTTATCCAAAGTTTATAATATGCTTCTACAAATAAGCATAGTACATGGTATAATGTAAAGAATACTGAAGTTATGACCTCTATTCTAGTCTTGGCTCAGCCTTTTACTAAGCCTATCCAAGTCAGGCACCTCCCTATCTAATGAAGGCTTTGAGGGCATGCAGTCTCTATAGCCCCTTATACCCACTATCACAGTAACTTGAGTATCAAGCCCAGGCCCCTGCCTCTTCCACTGCATCCTTGTGACCCTATCACCTCTCACTGCCCCGATTATACTGATATATGAAATAATTTGTTTTCAAGTTCAGTTTTCAGAGCAGTTTAATGTAGCCAGTATAGAGTCAGACTGTCAAGATATGAATCCTCTTTCTACCACCTAGTAGGTGTGTGACCAGAACAGATTATTTAACCTGTGCCCCAGTCTGCTCATCTGTAAAGTGAAGGTAATGATGTATCTTCCAGATATACCCTTGTGAGAGTGAGATGTACTCATCTACATCTATGTATGCGTTTAAATTTTATATTTGCATTTAGAGTAACTTAGCACAAGTTTTCAATATTGTTAGCTATTATCTGTCTGCAAAAATGTAAGCACAGTCTGGTGAACTGATGAAACAGAAGGTATTTTGGAGCCCTAGTGAACATTGGCATTTTCTTTCTTTTTTTTTTTAATTTATTTCTAGGAGAGAGAGAGACAGCGCGAGCAGGGGAGGGTCAGAGAGAGAGGGAGACACAGACTCCAAAACAGGCTCCAGGCTCTGAGCTGGCAGTCAGCACAGAGCCCAACGGGGGGCTCGAACCCACAAACCGCGAGACCATGACCCAAGCGAAAATCGGACGCTCAACCGACTAAGCCACCCAGGCGCCCCGAACATTGGCATTTTCTAAAGAGTCTAGTGTTAGCTCTTAGGGTTTTTATTTTTTTCCCTTCACAATCAGGATGGTTTTTATTTCTTTTTTTTTTTTTTTTTTTGAGTGAAACAGTTTTTTTATTCAAGGGTTTTTTTTGTTGTTTTTTTTTTAATAGTTTATTGTCAAAGCTATTAGGGTTTTTGTGTTTGTTTTTTATTTTTAATTTTACTTTAGGAGGTAAAGCAGTTTTGAGTGCTGAGATGAACAATTTTGATTTAACTGAAAAACAAAAACTGCCAAGGATACTAGTTTCTTTCAGAGTGATGTCACAGGAACTCTGCTCCCATGATATGTTTGATAAAACACCTGAGTTGATTAGGTAGATTATTGAACAAATTTTTTTTTAACCAGACTTCAGGTTAAACGTTTTCTCTTTGGTATACCCCATGTAGAATCAGGAAATAAAAGAGGGGTGCCTGGGTGACTCAGTCAGTGGTAAACATCCAACTTCAGCTCAGATCATGATCTCAAGGTTCATGAGTTCAAGCCCTGCATTGGGCTCTATACTGACAGCACGCAGCCTGACGCCTGCTTTGATTCCCTTTCTCCCTCTCTCTCTGCCCCTGTCCCACTTGCACTCTCTCGCTCTCTCTCAAAAATGAATAAATAAATGTTATTTTTTTAAAAAAAAAAATTCATGGGATCTTGGATAATCCTGAGACTTATCCAAGGTTCCCTCAAGATTCACCTATCCTGCAGTGTTTTGTACTTACTCTTGTATTTCAGTACAAGTTTAATAGGTAAGATAAAGTCTTACCTGAGGTGTAAAGGGCACAGGCCTTTAAATCAGTCTGGATCTGAGTCTTAGATTCTATCTACAACATTTAGTAAGTTTCTAACTTTTCCAAGCCTTGGTTTCTTCATCCCTAAAGTGGGGTATTAACTTGAGGTGAAGACTGGCTCAATGAAGAGTCACTCACCCAACAAAGACTAAAGTCCTTACTGTGGGCGAGGCTCTAAAGAAACAATAGTTAACACACCAGACATGCTTTCTGTCTGATGCCTCATGTAGCCTCCATCCTAGCGGATGAGGCAGAAAAGAAGTAAGCTATAAATAACATACTATGAAGAAACCAACACAAATAACAAGGATGTTATTTAAGACAAGATAGCAAGGGAAAGCTCTAAGGAGATGATATTTAAGCCAAAGCTTGAGGGATGAGGAGCCAGCCATGTGAGGAATTGAGGGAGAAACATTGCAAGAAGAATGAATGGCATGTGCAAAAGTCCCCAGTAAGAAAATTTCAAGTGTTCAAAGAACTGAGAACTGGTTTAACATTATTATAAGCAAAAGGAAGAATAGAGTGAGATGAATGGGGGGTGAGGGTGCCAGATCGATCACGCAGCACCCGTAAATCACAAGGTTGGTTTACTCTCCCTGCAAAGGAGTGCCATGATCACACTTGCTGACGTGGGGAAACTGTACCCCAGCGAATCAGTTAAGGGGCTACTGCAGAAGTGTGAACTAGAACTTACAGTAGGTTGGTAGGACTTGGGGGATGAACTGGAGAAGTGGATCACTTCCAGTGGCTTAGATGTAGGAATGCCAAGACTTGCTTTCAGATTACATGTGGGGGTGAGAGAGGAAGAAGGGTCTTGCAGGTGTCTGGTTTAAGCAAGTGAGGGAAGAAAGATGAATAGGCTTGGGTGGAGGGTGTTGGGGAGAGAGTAGAAACATACATTCTCTTTTGGACGTGCAAACCTTGAGGTGCCTGTGAGATATGTATATAAGGGAAGATACCAAATAGGCTAGAGCCTGAAGGAGGAATTTTGGCAGGAACCATACTTAAATGTCTGTATTTAAATGAGATTTAAATACGGCCAGTGTAAGCTGGAAGGAATCCCTTGACCTATTAAAATTCCAGAATTAAGGACAAAGACCACACAGAATTGAACACTATTTAAAAAAAAAAATGTATGTTTTATTTATTTTTGAGAGCAAGAGAGACAGAGCACGAGCAGGGGAGGGGCAGAGAGAGGGAGGGAGACACAGAATCAGAAGCAGGCTCCAGGCTGTGAGCTGTCAGCATAGAGCCCGACATGGGGCTTGAACCCACGAACCACGAGATCATGACCTGAGTCGCTTTTAATAAGCATGAAAGTATGATATCTCTAACCAGCAATAAGTAACTGGGAATTGTAGAAAGCAACATCGTTCCTAGAAACATAAGACATTGAAGTGCTATATATATCTTGCACTCAGGCCATCTCTCCTGCCAAAATGAAATGTTTTTTTCTGTCCCTTGAGTCAAAATTTTGAGAGGTATTATAAATTCCCAAGTCATAAGAGATCAAAACTCACCAGGTTTTAACAAAATAATGCATATTGCTTACGCTCGCAAGGCAGCCTAAGTGGTGTTTCAAATACACAAGTCACATGCATGCTTTGATAGCATGTTCTCTGAGATACTGTACTCTCTCACTGGGCGTCAATGACCTACTTCACCTTTAGGGCCCAAAGTTCAGAATCTGCAGAAGTCCTAAGTTGGGTGGTCCTAATCTACAGCCGATCCAAACTGCTTCAAGCAGCAACACAGAAAATGAGTATAGAGTACGAGAAAATGCTGTGTGGCATCCCTATCCTATATTTGGCTCCCTAATGAACACTCACAGTCTTGCCGACAGAGCTATAACCCATAATCATAATGCAGATACAAACAAGTGTGGCAGCAGCCTTATGAGGTGAGGCCATCTGAGCAGCTGATAGTGCCAGAGATTAAAGCCTCTGTCAGAATCACAGATAACTGAGTGCCCTCCTTAGCAGCAGGAAGAATGGAAGTG